AAAGCTTGTAAGCCAGTCACTTTGTGCCTTGTAGACCCCCATTTTGGGTAGCCAATGTGTAAGTTGACCTCTGTCAACCCTGTGTACCGAGAGGGTGGGAATGATACTCGCTCTAAAGATTTGTTCCCTCTTTTGAGATACAACATCCGTAAGTATAGGTCAAATTCATCAAATTGTAGCAGACTACTCTGTTTTTCCCTCTTATTTCTTCTTCTAGTCGAGTTCTGATCATCCAGCTATTGAAGCCCAGGTCAAGTGGGTACTATCTGCAAACATGGGTGTTCTTGTGCATTATTTCCCCTCACTTCATATCAACTGGATGCTTAATTCTCTGTTCTAGTCCTCTGTGGCCATGTCACTGTCTCTGGGTCCAGGAGTCCCTAGGTCTTGCCATACTGCTAGCCAACCAGGAGTTTATTGAACGTGGTTGCACTTAGCTCACAACTTCATTGCTGTTTTTTCCCCACTTCCTGGTATCAGTCACCATTGTGGTCACCAGCCAGACCACATACCTGCTCGTGTATTCCCCTTGAGTCTTAGTCTTGGAAGGGGGTTGCAAACAACTTTTAATTATCTATAGCTGAAGAAGGGTCAGAACTATAGAATGATAACTCCATTCAGCTGATGTAACCCAAATCTCCTGGCAGAAATTTGCCTCTGGGATTAGGACCTTAATTCAGACCAGAGAAGCTGTAGGAAATGCATTGAATGAGTCAAAAAAAAAAAAAAAAAAAGGGAGGGGGGGAAGGAGTTGAATCCATTGAAGTTGGACTATCATAGATATAATATTTTAAATAATATTTATTTGCTTTAGTTTTATCTCAGGCATTGCCCTGGGTGCTGCGATTCAAAGATGAATAAGACACCAGCCCTTATATAGCAGTGAAGGGGTGGTGCTTGGGATGTATTCAAGGGTTATGAGAGGACAGAAATGAGGACACCCAGTGAGAATGGAGGAGTCAGTGAAGGCTTTCCAGAGGAGATGCCACTTAAATTGAAACTTAAGGAAGAAAAAGAATTATCTAGGCAAAAGATCTGGAGAAGAATCACTCCAGACAAAGGGAAACACAAGCTAGGGCTCGGCGATTTAGTCACACTATTGTGTGCTGCATTAGGCTTCCAAGCAGATTGATGATGCTGTAGCAATGAGTACATGACATGACTGATGGAATGTAAAATTTAGAGGGTAAGCCAGGGTCAGCACTCCATATAACCAGGCTTGTACTTTCAAAACCTCTGAAGGGCATCCTTATTTCCTCCATTCTCCTCTACTTGTTTTGGAGGTCTTTAAGACCATTCCTTTGTTCAGAGGTTTGCTAAACGGACTCATGGATTCAGCATATAGTTGTACTCATGACAAAGTTGTAGTACGATGATGTAGTATGAGTACACAGCCAGTTCATAAGGGAACAAGACACAGGTGGAGTCTTGAGGACTCTACTCTTCTTCTCCTTCTCTTTCTAGGAGAGACCTCAATGGGAATGAAAATACAGGAACATGCGTATGCTGTTTACACACAAGGAAGATCATTAGAGACTCAGTGCCCAAGATTTTTACTGGGGGTCAACCATGCTGGTACTTTCTGTAGCACAACACCTAGAACTCAGAATCCCAGAAGAAAAGTATAAACCATATTGCTTGAATAAGCAGTGTAGGCAGTGAGCCACCCTTATCAATTAACTGACATGAAAACTATCTGGAGAAAATGCCACTTGAGTTGAAACTTGAAGAAAATGAATAATCTACGCAAAAGATCTGGAGATGAATCACTCCAGACAAAGGGAAACACAAGCTAAGGCTTGGGAATTTAGTCACAATATTGTGTGCTGCCTTGGGCTTCCAAGCAGGTTGATGATACTGAAACAGCAAATACATAACATGGAATGGTGGAGCATAGAGGTTAGAGTTAAGTCAAGGAGACAAGTTCTTAGATACCATCCAAAGACCAACCTTGCAAATAGGTCTTTCTAAGGATAACAGAAAAGATTGAAGTTGTCAAGGACTTCATTCTTCTTGGATCAACTATCAACACTCATGGAAGCAGCAGTCAAGAAATCAAACGATGTATTGCAATTAGGCAAATCTGTCACACAAGACCTTTTTAAAGTGTTGAAGAGTAAAGATGTCAGCTTGAAGACTAAGGTGTGCCTGACTCAAGCCATGGTATTTTCAATAACCTCATATGCATGTGAAAGCTGGACAGTGAATAAGGAAGACCGTAGAAGAATTGATGCTTTTGAGTTATGGTGTTAGAGAATATTGAAAATGCCATGGGCTGCCAAAAGAACCAATAGATCTGTGTTGGAAAAGTGCAGCCAGAGTGCTCCTTGGAGGCCAGGGTGGCAAAACTTTGGACATATTGTCAGGAAGGGGCCAGTCGCTGGAGAAGGATATCATGTTTGGTAAGGTGGAGGGTCAGGAAAAAGATGAAGACCCCCAGTGAGATGGATTGGCAAAGTGGCAGCATCAATGGGCTCAGGCCTGGCAACAATAGTGAGGTTGGCCCAGGATCTGGCAGTGTTTCGTTCTGCTGTGTGTAAGGTCACTATGAGTCGGTACCCACTCAGTGGCACCTAACAGCAACAACAATGGTAACAGTCTATTTTCCATACTATCCAAGACTTCTTTTTTATAATCGTTTTGCTTAACTTTCAATGAAATTGAGACTGAAGCTTTACACTCATAAGACTGAACCGTAGGACATTTGGGAGTTTTAAATATGCTTTTATCGTTAATGCTGCTGTGAAGAGAAAAGAGGCTGGACTTGAGGTAGAGTCATGTTCTCAGAGTTGAAAGTACAATGAGGTGATGTCATGTTCTGTGGCCTAGATACCATAATGCTTCACTAAGCTCAGACCCACAGGAGTCTGATTCAGTTACTGTCTGGATGGGAGGTCATTATGCTCTGGCTTGACTGATTAGGACAAGTCGTAATTATCTTGAAATAACGTGTTTTCTGTTAAGCTTCCACTTGATGCTCAAATAGTATCTGTTTTCATCAGTATCTGGTTTCATCACTCCCTGCAAGAAAAATACTAGCAAATCTTCACTTTTGTACATGGGAAAATGTATACTAGGTTTACCATTTCTTTACAACCTCATTTTATTCATTATGGCTAATTCAGTCACCTTGTTACTGTTGTTAGGTGCCATCAAGTTGGTTCCTACTCAAGCAACGTATATACAATAGAATAAACCATTGTCAGGTCAAACATTCTCATTAACATTGCTATGTTTGAGTATATTGTTGCAACCGTTGTGTTTTCTGTCTTTCTCATCAAAGGTCGTGCTCTTTTTCCATGACCCTCTACTTTACCAAGCATCATGTCCTTCTTCAGAACCTAGTCCCTCCTGATGTTGTTTGCTACTAAATTTAATTGAGTCAGTTCTGACTCATAGTGCGATTCCCCACATAGACTTTCTGAGACTGAAAACCTTTGCAGGAGCAGAAAGCCTCATCTTTCTCCTGAGGAGCAGCTGGTGAGCTCAAACCTCCTACCTACAGAGCCATTGTGCTTCCTTAACCCACTGTGTCATCAGGCTCCTTTCAGTCACCTTGTTGTCTCTCCTGATAACATGTCCAAAGTACCATGAGACAGAGTCTCACCATCTCACTTCTTAGTAGCATTCTGACTGTACTTCTTTAAGACATGTTTGTTCTTTCTTCTCGAAGTCCGTGGTATATCCAATATACCTTGCCAACACCATAATTCAAAGGCATGGATTCTTCTAGGGTCTTACTCATTTTTTCAGTCACCTACCCAAACCCACTGCTATCCAACAGATTCTAACTCATAGCAACCCAATAGGACAGAGAGAACTGCTTTGTAGGGTTTCCTGAGACGGTAAATCTTTCTTCCGTGGAGCAGCTGGTGGGTTGAATGGCTGATCTGCAGTTAGCAGTCTCACACTTAACCCACAGTGCTACCAGGGCTCATTTCAGTCACCTTGTTGTTGAGTACCGTCGAGTCAGTTCCAACTCATAATCATTGTGTATAGGGTTTGTTTCTCAGGCTTTAAATCTGTGGGAGCAGAAAGCCTCATCTTTCTCCTGTGAATCAGCTGGGGAGCTTATCCAGTAAGTTGCTATGTGTCATCTAGTCGGTTCTAACTCATAGTGACCCTGTATAGGGTTTCCTAGAAACAGCTCGTGGATTTGAACTGTTGGCCTTTTGGTTAGCAGTCCAGTACTTACCCTACAGCACTTGTTTATCCTGTCTATGAAGCAAGTCCAAGTCCTTGACCTTCTCTCCAATGGAGAGCTTTAAGGTACACAATGCCTTTAAGACCACCATTGTATTTTTCCTTCAGAAAGTAACTCTTTTTGTGTGGATCCTAAATGTATCTTTCTACTTTGAAGTATTACTGAATTTTCATAAAAGTGCTGGCTAGAAGAAAGAGCTTAAGTAGAGAGAAAGGAATTAAATTGACTGACATATACAATCCATTTGTGTGAGGCAAACATTTTTAAAAGGGGACAAATCCTATTAGTTTTTCATTACTATAGCATGCTATTTATCATATTGTCTTTAGTTTTTTAGAAGGATTGTATAATAAAATGTACTTTAAAAACTTGTACATTCATGAGGGATTCTCTGCCAATTTAAATAATTTACTTTCTGTGGCTGTTATTTCCTTCCTACTAGTTTTATGTTTGCTTTTTTTCTTATGTCACTAGTCTGCTAGAGTTGTTCTGAAATAGCAATGGTTTATTTGTATTGGTTTTTAGAACTGTTGCATGCAAATCTATTGTTTCTGTCTTCTGTGTACTTGTGGATGAATTGCATGCTGATGTGTGGCTTTTCAGTACCTGTGCGCGTGCACACACACACACATTCATGTTGCTTGAAGGCATTTTTCTGTTTAAGTAAGTTGGCATAACTCCTGAAGTATAACAAGTACTTTTAGCAAGAATATTGTTGTTGTTAAACAGTGCTATCAAGTTGGTTGTAATTCATAGCTACTCTGTATAAGATTTCTAAGGAGCACCTGGTGTGTTTGAACTGCCGACCTTGTGGTTTGCAGTGCAGTGCTTATCCTACAGTGCCATACCCGGAGTCCTAGCAAGAATATAATACACTGAAAAAAATTAAAATTCTGTATACTCCGGTAAATAATATATAACCTCATTCCCATTTTAAGAAGTTGTTCTTCTATGTTTTATCACTCAAAATAATGGTTTTCATATTTGAAATATATTTTTCTCATTCTAGGATGTACAACCCAAAGGACTGCCTTAGCAATATTTTTCTATAATTTTATTTCCACTTAGTTATTAAAACCAAAGCAGTCATATTGAGATGTTGGACTGATGTATTTTATAGCGTAGAGATTGCAGTTATCATTCTAGATGACATTTGGATAATGCTTATATTTTGGGCATTTTTTAGAGAATCTAGAGGAAAGTACTGATGAAGATGCACCTTTAAACAGTCCAGGATCAGAAGGAAGGTAAGGCAGTCTTTAGAAACTTCATAAATTTGGATTGCGTCTTTAATTTTAAATCCTTTTGTGTCTTGTTGCATAAAGAAATAACAGTAAAACTGGAATGATTTTGTGTTTTATGACTGAGTGAAAAGCTCTAGAAATAGTAAGATGGAATGCAGACTAAGTCATGTTTCTAGAATAAAATAAGATAAAAATCCAATGAAGGGAAAATAAATTATTTTTTAATTAAGATATTTTGATTTTATATATTTTGTAATTATAAATTTAGAGGATATACAATTTTCTTTAGCAAGTCCCTTTTTAATCTTGTGGTTAATTATTATTTGCATATAGCATACTGTCTTCAGACCTTATGAAGCTTTGTGGTGAAGTGAAGCCTAAGAACAAGGTAAGGATAATTGAAAATACTAGGTAAATGTTTCTTTCCCCACTGTTATTCCTTATCACAGGGTCCACCCTGAAGGGTTTAAGTAATATGACAACCCTTAGTCATTATATTATGTGGAAAAACTTGTTAGACTATGATGCGTATGTATAGATTTTAAGATTTAAAAAAACAAACATTAAATACTGATACACAGACACATACACACACATATATAGATATATGTGTATATATATCTATATATATGTATATATGATTTTTGTTGTTATTTTAAGTGCCTTTGAGTTGGTACTGACTCATAGCATCCCAGTATATGGTTTATGAGGAACAGCTATTGAGTTTGAACTTCTGACATTGTGATTCACAGTCCACTGCAGATCCTACAGCGCTACACCAGGAGTCCATATAAATGCTCCATGCTGTTCCATGTTTTCATACGTTAGACATATGACAAATTGCACATTGAAGGTGGTAGCATTTGATACTACATAAATTAGCTAATGATCTTAAAATGTTAGAAAACAAAGAATTCTCACAGTGTGTATTAGTAAATATTTGCTGAATAGTTGGATAGAATCAAGACCTGAAAAGAATAATATTGATGAAAAGGACAGGACAGATTGAAGGTCCACAGTGGTTCATCAAGTTATATAAATGAGTAATGTGACTGGATTTAAACGTAGTAAATGTGGTTAACTGTAGAGTACATGCCGCATTTAAGGTGCAGTGACTATAGGATAAGCACTGGACTGTGAACCATAATGTCAACAGTTTGGACCTTCCAGCCACTTCTTAGAAGAAAGATGAGTCTCTCAGTTCCCACAAAGATTTACAGGCTTGGAACCCCTCTGCAGGGTCTCTCTGGATTGGAACAAGCAAAATAGCACTTAACAGCAACAGTCATCACTCAGCTCTTGCTCATTTTAACATATGGGAATGTGGGCTGGAGACTACCAGATATTCTGGTTTTTCAAGGGTAGCCAGAAATATGATTTCTATGTAGAATTTCCTGATCTTTAAAACATTGGGCAAGCCAAACAAACAAAAAACCCCAAACATTTCTGGGCTCTTGTGTAAGGTCTTTGAACTACTGGTTTGGTGATGTGTGATTTGCATTTTATTATTCTAAATGACTAAGCAGAGGCTACCAGAATTCAAAGAAAACATTCTAGTAAGTTTAGAATCCTGTCATTGGCAAAAGAGAGATAATTTTAGTCCTTCAGACCCTGAAGGATTCACTGAGGGAAGGAATTTCCAGGTAATCTATTCCTGTCTATCCTAGGCCTGTGGCAAGGGAGAGAGTTTAAAGCTTAAAAACTTTTGCAGGGCATTTTCTTTCCTAAAGTGTTTTTGAATTGCCACCTACTACTACTTTTGGCACTGTAGGATCAGCACTGGACTGCGACCCAGAAAGTCGGCAGTTCAAACCCACCAGCTGCTCCTATACAGGGTTGCTATGACTAAGAACTGACTCCACAGCACACAACCACCACTGCTACTTAAATGGCAAAGCTGTCTAAAGGATCTTATATCATATTTTTTCACCTTCTGAAAATATTAAGTTGGCTATATATCTCAAAAGGAGCTCTGGTAGTGTAGTGGTTACGAATCGGGCTGTGAACCGCAAGGTCAGCAGTTCGAAACTACAAGCGGTTTTGTGGGAGAAAGATGAGGCGTTCTGCTCCCGTAAAGATTTACAGCCTCAGAAACCCTGTGCAGGGTTGCTATGAGTCGAAACCGACTCCACGGCACTTAACAACATATATCTCAAATGAGTTCTTCTGTGATGCTGTAGGATAAGCCTGGACTGCTAACCGCAAGGATGTCAGTTCAAACCCACCAGCCGCTTGCAGAAATGACTATGAGTCAGCACCAACTCAATGGCACACAACAACAACAACATATATTTTAAATAGGTTTGTACCAGCACTGTGTGTTAAGTGCAGGAAATGCAAAGTTGAATAAAAAAAGAGTCCCTGCCTCCTAAAGGTTTGTAATCTGATGAATTCCTGATTATTTTTTAATACCTTAACATGTAACTATCAGCTGTGAGCAATAACAGTATAGCCATTTGATTGTCAAGAGTAAGGAGAGGAATGCTTACAGTGAATTTTAGGTTGTAGGAAAATAACCTTCACTTCCCTTACTGTAGTGCCAAAAAACTGATGCTGGCTAGGGTTGAATTATCCAACAGGCTAATTAAACACAAAAAGGCACCAGGAAGCAGGGCAACAAAATTGAAGGGGGGGGGGGGGGGGAAAGTAACTTAAGAAAGAAAGTCTAATTGAGCTTTATATTTTTTGTTAAAAAAAGCAAAAAAAAACAAAAACGTTTAACATATAAAGGTGCAGAGAGATTGAAAGTAAAGGAGAAAAGTTCAGCATAACTGACACCAATAAAAAGAAAACTTGGGGAATTGAAAGGGTGATATGGGAGAAAGGGTTATATCAGGAATCCTGGTGTGGTGCTGTGGGTTAATGCTCCAGACTGCAAAGCCATTTGAACCTCAAGGTCGGCAGTTCAAGCTCACCAGCTGCTCCTCGGAAACCCTATACAGGGTTGTTATGGGTTGGAACTGACTCAACGGCACTTAGCAACAATAACAAATACTACCTGCACAATTTTTCTGTAAACCTAAAACTGTTCTAAAAAATAGTCTGTTACAAAAAGCAATTGAACATGAAAATAAAACAATTTAAATTTTCAGTAATTACCTTTTGTTATAGTTTCTTTTTTAAAGAATTAAATAGCACGTTGAGCAAGCTGACAGACATAATAGTGCAGTAACATCGGAGACTGAGCCTGGCTTTGAATTCGATTTTGCCATTTACTCGCTGTGTAACCTTGAGGAGTAACTTAGTTTCTCTGTGCCTCAGTTCATCTGTGAATTGAGATAATGGTGCTGTTGTTGTTAGGGACCATTAAGTCAGTATTAACTCCTGTTGGTTATTGTTTGTCATGGGGTTGGTTCTGACTCATAGTGACTCTGTATAGGGTTTCTGAGGCTGTACATCTTACAGGAGTAGGAAGCCAAATCTTTCTCCTGCAGAGCGGCTGGTAGATTCAGAGTGCTGCTCTGGCAATAAGCAGCCCATAGGGTTTCTGAGGCTGTAAATCTTTAATGGAGAAGAAAACCTCACATTTCTCCCAAGGAGCAACTGGTGGATTTCAACAACAACAGCCTAAATGCTAATAAAATGAAGTGTCAGAACCAAACCTGGCACATGGTAGGATAAAAATGTTGGCCATCATGCTGTCCTCTTCAGGTTTTAATCTGGGATAACTTTGACTTGTCACTATTTTGTATGCTATGTTTGACACACCTGCTTGGGAAAGACATGCTAAATGTTTTTTATCTATTTCAAACGAATGTTGAATCTCTAGTCCCTAAAGCCCTTCTCTGTGAAAAGTTTGCCCCTGATTGCTTTTACTTTCATTCTCTGACTAGGCCCGAAGGAGAACCACCACTCAAATGGAGTTGCTGTATGCAGATAGCAGTGAACTAGCTTCAGACACTAGTACAGGAGATGCCTCCTTGCCTGGCCCTCTTACACCTGTTGCCGAAGGGCAAGAGATTGGAATGAATACAGAGACCAGTGGTACTTCTGCTAGGGAAAAAGAGCTCTCACCCCCATCTGGCTTACCTTCTAAGATAGGCAGCATGTAAGTCTGGCCCAGCTACACTAACTTCCTCTCTTTTTGCCTGTTTGAAAATATGCATGTTGCTATTTTCTTATTCTTTTTTCTTTCTCTCTTTTTTTTAGTTGTGCAAATAAGAGCTTTGGTTTTCAAAGTAATTTCTGTTAGGTGTTGTCTTCCCTAATTTTGAGGCTATTCAAAATCGTTTAAGAAGACTCATTCTTCTGTGCACTTTTTGTCTTATCTAAATTCTAGGATCATTCTTAAGTTTTATAAGGGCTGAGTTATGAATTGCAGAAACAACAGAAAATTTATTTAAAAATCGCTAAACGAGATTACTCTAAAGTTATACTTTTTCAATTTTCTCTAATTTGCCTATATCCTAGTTCAAAGAGTCTGGTCAGGATGACAAAACTTTACTGGCCTTTTTAAAGTAAAAGGAAGGTATCAATTATAAACTTTCTTAATCCTTTACCTTAAAACACATTACATGTCTGGGATATGACATTTTTATTGGAATTGTTAAAAATTTAAAGGAGGGAATATTCTTTCTCCTATGTATGTATTTTGCATGCAAAATAAATTTAGAATTTTTTCCATGACTATCTTGAAGACAAAGGAAGGTTTTCTGTATACAGTGTGTGGTATGTAGAGGGTATCTGTGAGTATGGGTGTTTGTTGTTGTTGTCAGGTGCTATTCAGTTGCTTCTGACTCATAGTGACCCTAAGCACAATAGAACAAAACACTTTTTTGTTCCATTTCTGCATCATCTTCATACTCATTTCTGTGTTTGAGCCTGTGTTGCAGCAATCATGTCTGTCAGTTTTGTTCCAGGCCTTCCTCTTTTTCTCTGACCTTCTACTTTCCCAAGCATGATGTTCTTCTCCAGGGACTGGTCCATGTTGATAACAAGTCCAAAGTACATGAGACAATATCTCGCCATCCTTGCTTCCAAAGGACATTCTGGCTATCCTTTTTCCAAGGAAGATTTGTATATTTTGCTAGTCATCCCTAGTACTTTTAAGATTCTTCATCAACATCATAATTCAAAGGCATCGGTACTTCTTCAGTCTTACTTAGTCATTGTCTATTTTTTGCATGCATATATAGTGATTTAAAATACCACTGCTTGGGCCAATCACACCCTAGTATTCAAAGTGACATCTTTGCATATAAAACTTTGAAGAGGTCTTTTGCAGCAGAATAGCCTAATGCAATGCATAATTTAATTTCTTGACTGCTGCTTCCAAGTAGATCCAAGTAAAATGAAACCCTTGACAACTTTAATACTTTCTCCATTTATCCTGATGTAGCTTACTGATCCAGTTGTGAGGGTTTGTGTTGTCTATATGTTGAGGTTTAATTCATATTGGAGACTGTGGTCTTTGATATTCATCAGTAGGTACTTTAAGTCCTCATCATTTTCAGTAAGCAAGGTTGTGTCATCTGCATACCACAGATTGTTATTAAGTTTTCCTTCAGTCTTGATGCAGCATTCTTCTTCATATGGTGTAATTTCTTGGATTATATGATCAGCATGCTGATTGAATAAGTATGGTGAAAGACTACAACACTGCACAACTTTACTGATGTATAAACTAGGCAACATCCTCTTGTTCTGTTTAAGCGACTGTTTCTTGGTTCCACGTGAGCACATGAAATGTTCTGTAATTCCCATTCTTTGCAATGTTATCCATAATTTGTTTAGAGCCACACAATTGAATGCCTTTGCATAGTCAATAAAACACAGATAAACATCTTTCTGGTATTCTTTGGTTTCAGCCAATATCCATCTGATACCAACAATGGATGAATGTTGGTAATTTGGCTTAAATTAGATCATCTTTCACCGGTTAAAGATTTTTAATGACATTTTTCAAACTAACCTCACAATCTAGCAAATGATTTATGAAATGAATTCATCTCTGCATTGAGGAATACTGCCCCAAAAGGGGCATACATTATATGACTGTGCAAATAGTAAAGAAATAGCATATTTTTCCCACTTGAATATGTTAACTGAAGTTTAAAATAACTCTTAATTTTATGAAGATGTTTCTTTTGTCATTTTAGTAATTTCATCTGCTATCTTTAATTCCAAAATTAATTTTAGTGATGTGAGAACTTTCTTGCATGTGCTTGAGGTGGCCTGTATAATTAACTATTGAATTTGCTGTTGGAAAATGCTAACCAGTGTAGCTTGTGGCTTCAGTGCTTTTGTGATAAGATGAGCATAGAAGAATTGCTTTTGGTGATGTCAATGATATGTAAATTAGGATAGATTTTAGGAACCAGCATGTGTTTAGCATTTAGTCTGTCAGATGAGTAGAGACTTTGGAAACCCAAGACTAAATCTATGACCTGGAATCCAGATTCAGGTAATACCTTCTTTTTTGCCTTTAAAAATTTTTTTAAGTATATCCTTTATAACAGGCTATGAAAAAAAAAAAGTTAAATCTTTTAGAATCATCTTATGTTTTCTTTTTAAATTTTCATATACTCAGGTGCATGTATAATTCTTTAGAAATGTGAGTTGGCCATATATTTTATACAGTGACTTTTAAAACCCTTTAGTGCCTTGCTTTTATTTTTTATTACTTTATATAAGGTACTTACTCAAGTAGCTCTTATGATACAGAAATTCTGGGATGTGGTTTCTTCTGTTTAGTAAAACCTGGCACACAAAGTTTATATTTAGTTTTTGCTTTGAAATAGGAATCATATAAGCCCATTCTGGGATCTGACTTTCTAAATTTCTTGATTTTTTTCTCCTCATTATTATTAAGGATAAGAAGCAAATAGATATTATTTTCCAATTAAAATTCATTACCAGCATACACCGAAATTATAGTCTAGAACTTTAATTACACAGGAACTAGTTGATAATTAAAGCTTGTAATTAGATGGTGGTGGTGGTAGTATGCTGCCGAATTGGTTCTGATAAGAATATTTGTATTAATAAAAATTATATAAATACTTAAGAATTAAATACTATGTGAGTAAAGTAATTGTGTTTGTTATTTTTTTTGTGATTGTTTATAGTACTATTTTTTGACTGTCTAAAAATATTCATTAAACTTTCATTGTATTTTATATTCTTATATTTTTGTTCTTGAAAAACTGCTGGAGTTTTTTTTTTTTTTTTTTCAAGTGTAGAATTAAAAAAATTTTGATCAAACAAATATTTCTGTTAAAAATAGAATCTTTACTGTAGCTAATTTAGCATTGATGCTGACAAATATAATAGTTTTTCATACATTTAATATGGTTGCTAATTTAACTATTAAATATATAGTTGTCAAGTTTCTGTCAACCAAATATAATTTATATAATAATTATTCTCATATAATAATCTTTCTCAAGTTCCAGTTAGAAATCTGTTAAATTTTTTAGGTTAGATGCTTAGCAAACACAATTATATCTGTAAATTTAACATCAGATAATTAAAGAATCTTTCTATTTTAGTTCCAGACAGCCATCTCTATCAGAAAAAAAAATACCAGAGCCTTCCCCTACATCAAGGAGAAAGACATATGAGAAAGCAGAAAAATCAAAGACCAAGGAGCAGAAACAGTAAGTTATTACTATTTTTCACCAACGAGGCTGAATAGTATCTCTGCTGCACTGAGATGCCAAAGTATAAGAATGGAATTATTTTCCAGATTTAGGCTGTCTTTGTGGTTAGGACTGATTTGACTAATCAAGATAGTCAGCAGTTATCTTGGCTAGGTGGTCCTCTAGCTTTCTTGGTTATACTCAAATACCTGTCGTAATGTCTGAGAACTTGTTCCCAGTCTTGCACACTTATTCTAATTACATGCATATTCATTGTAAGAGTCTTATACATTTGAGGCAAGGCTGGCTTTTAAAGGCAATGAATTAAATTGATATTTTAAAGCGTCGTTTAGAAAAATTTCAAATTAATTTGGAGGTTTTCTGATAAAATTGACACTGACTTTGCCTCTTTAAAACTGCTGACCATGAGTTACTGTAGTAATCATAAGGTGTGTCACCTATGCCATTTTCTTGGTGTTCTCTTAGGTTTAATAATCTTTTGCAAAAATCTTTTAGAAGCCATTTGTTTGTTTTATGAGGATTTGTTTATTTAGTACTATATGATATAATTCTGATGATTCACTGAACTACACACTTGTAAATTGCTGCTCCACAACGTACAGAAAGATGTATAGGTCAGAGTCCCTGTGACCCCTCTACCCTGCAGCACACTCACTCATCCCTTAAGTGACCTATTGAGGTGGCATGTAAATCTCTGACATGTCCTTAGTAACAGTATACAAATGGATCTGTGTTTAAATGTTGTTGTTGTTGTTAAGTGCCATAGTTCCGTCTGTTCTGACTCATGGAGACAGACCCTGTATGGTTTTCCAAGAAGTGACTGGTGGGTTGAAACACCTACCTTACAGTTAGCATTCCAGTGTTTCTTCTATTGTTGTTGTTGTTGTTGTTAAGTGCCGTCGAGTCGATTCTGACCCATAGCGACCCTGTACAGGGTTTCCGAGGGTGTAAATCTTTATGGGAGTAGAAAGCCTCATCTTTCTCCCGCGGAACGGTTAGTAGTTTCGAACCGCTGACCTTAAGGTTCGCAGCCCAATTCGTAACCACTATGCTACCAGAGCTCCTTTCTATAGCACCTTAGTAAAGCTGATTTCTGTAATAAATATGGCCTTGTGTATTTTCTCTACTGAGTAGGTGATCTTAGAGCTTCTTTCCCATGTGCTGAGGAGACACACTGTACTTTGACCATTGGCTTAGATGACTTGAATATCATGGAAATTATCCTCTAATTATCCTAGCTTCCTGTACTTAAAGATGTAATTTGCCTGTTTGTACTGAATCAAACATTTCAAGAAAAATCTGGAGATGGGGAACAGAACAAATAAGTACTTTAAAAATAAATGAATGAATCATTCAATTGAATAAGCAAATTACTCTGAAACTCTCTGGATTTATTTCTCCTTTACAAAATGAGCAGCTTGGTCTTAATTTTAGTTTCTGAATTTAAAATTTTTCTTGCTTTATTTATATTGACTTCTGACTTCAGCAGACAGAACTTTTTCTTTAGTGCCATTTTGTGGCTAATATAACAGAACCCAATGTTTGTTTTGTTTTTAAAGTTAAATTGCTCAGAATGCAGTTTTTTTTTTTTACAAAGAGGAAGGAAGAAACTTTCTAGTGAAACATTTTTTTATTGTTCTCTTTTTAAAGCGTGTTTCATATAACCTTCCTAACAAATCATAACCAATTAAAGCCACCTCTTTAATGTTCTTTTTCTCTTGTAGCTCAGATTCTGGAACCTCCGAGGCTAGTCTTTCACCTCCTTCTTCCCCACCAAGCCGGCCCCGTAATGAACTGAATGTTTTTAATCGTCTTACTGTTTCACAGGGAAACACATCAGTTCAGCAGGATAAGTAAGTCACTGTGGAAAGCAGCCCCAGCAATTTATATAATATTCTGAGTGTTTCAGTACAGTTTGTAGAAATTACTTCACCATCTCTTAGTATGGGAGATGAAGTCTGACGGGTGAGCCCTGGCTCCATTTAATGTATTTTTGCAATGGGAAATGATCCATGTAGTCAAAATTAGAGAAAATTATTTTCCTGCTGAACATTATTCCCTGTTGTAGATTTGCATTCCTATACTTTCATCATTAGTCTTGCCTTTTCTTTTGCAAGTTAATTAGAATTTAAATATCTTTGAGACTCCTTGAAGTTTAAATTTCTTAGAAATCTTCAGCTTCTGTGAGCCAATAGAAACCTCTAATACAGATTAACCTAAATTGAAAAGAGGCAAATGGTTTTACCCTTTGGTAGACATAATACTGTACAAAGACCCCTGTCATATGGGGATCATGTTATTAATAATCTGACTAGTCTACCTACATATCTTGGAGTAAAAGACGGTCTTTAGGAGTGGAAAGGGTGATGGATCATGGGGGAAGGAAGGTTCAAGGGGTATGGAAAATGCAATTCTCATTAAATCAGGAGTGAAAAAAAATATTCCCACATTGAACCAGATCTTTCTTGCAAGATTTCAATACTATTAATACTGCCATAAAGTATTAATAAATTCTGGCTTGTCTCCTTAGATTTTGAATTATCATTGTACTTGACATTTCACTTCCTGTCCTAACTGTGTGTTTTCTATGCTCTCCTTTCCCTTTTATGTCAGCAGTCTCTGAAATTTATAAGATACGGTTTAAGAATCTGGCATTATTTAGATTTTGCTTTTGCTTTTGCTTAAAAAAAAAAAAAATTAATTCTTGATTAGATTTTACTGTATGTAAATTAATAGATGATATAACCTGTAAATTAATCTGGGTAGGTAAATGTTTTTGTGTACTATTAGGAAAGAAGGGCCTTTTACATTGTTACATAACAATGAATGCAGAATAGAGCAGAACATTAGTTAGTTGAACCATTACTCAGTTTTATTTACCTTGCATTCACATCATGAAATTTTCTGTTATTCTTTTCTAATATTGACCATTTAGTCATAGTTCCATATTTTTTACTAAAATATTTATGTTGTTGTTAAGTGCCATTGAGTCAGTTCTGACTCATAGTGACCCTGTATAGGGTTTAATTTCACTCTGTTGTCTTCTTTTGAAGATAAAACTTAGAGTGAATGCCTATTCTGCACTTTCAAAAACTCTTCTACTTCCTGTTTCACTTTTTGGAGGAGCTCTGTTTTTAAGATCAATATTATTCACCAGTAAGAAGTAGACCCCATATATTGTTTCTGGTCACAACATGTCCACACTCATTTTATGCTCATTTTACCTAAGTCTACCTTAGAAGTTAAAATTATTTTCCTAATACAGACTCACAACCAATATTAGAAACCTTAGAGTAGGCTGGACAGGAGGCTTCTTAAATCAAAGGAATTCAATATTTTTGACCTAGGTTACTAAATTTGAGGGATTTGCTTTTTATGTAAACATATATTATGTTTGTTCAACTACTCATTAGAGTCTAAATCTAAAGTATTAAAGACGATTACAATGAGTTAACAGGCTTGAAAATAACACATTTTTTTCTAATCTGCTCATATGAAATAGAAAGATACACGTGAAGTGATGTATTTCATATACTTGATATTGTTTTTTCCCAGGGCCTAAATTTATGCACTAATGATAGGTTCTGTGGATCAGTAATAGATGGAGAGAGAGAGAGAAAAAAAAAAAAATCCCCTCAGTCTCTCTTAGTTGAAACCTAAGAATCAACATTTTACCTGACTTAGCTACATTTTAAAATGGTTGACATTCAGAGCAAATAGAAAAGCAGGACTCTTTAAAAGAAAGGTACTATGATATTTCTGTATTACTCATACTGTTGATTTTCAGTTCAAACTCGGTGTCTTTACCTGTTGACATCTATATTCTTTCCCCTCATAATTCTAACTCTTTCACTATAGGTCTGATGAAAGTGACTCCTCTCTCTCGGAGGTACACAGGTACTTTCTTCCTATCTTTCTTACATTCTGGCCTTGCATTGATGCTCTAAAATGCTTTCTAGAAATTCTAAGCAAGTCTCATTTTTATTGCATGCCTTACTTGTTGCCAACCATATAAATGCACTAATATTTTAAAGTATATTAATTTGCTATTTTAATTATGCCTTTTAGACAAAACAGTAGCAAATTATTTGTATTATAGCTTTAAAAATTGTATTTTCTGACTGTAATGTAAGTATTTTCTTTGAAAGAAGTTAGATTCTATGCACTTTGATGTCAAAGGTTTATTCCTCAGTAATGAAAAGTTTTCAGTATCTCTAAGTGTAGGAGGTGAATAAAGTATTTTTGTGACTGGATAATCAGTTTGAAATAAAAAACTTACCAGTTTTTTATGAGATGAAGGCGTACTGGGGGTTTTGTTAAGTGCTATCAAGTAGGTTTTAACTCATAGTGACCCTGTATAGGTTTCCAAGGAGCAGCTGGTGGATTTGAATCAACAACCTTGCAGTTCAAATCGATCTTTGCTGTCCAGTTCATTATCCTATAGTGCCACACTAGTACTCCAGCTGGTGGGTAGCGGGGAAGGGTATTAATATATCAAAAAATAGGAAAAAAAAAAAAGGAACTTTTTTTTTCCTTTTAAATAATGAATCATTTTTATGGGTAGATGTTTTTAAAATAAGTTACATTTTTTCATGTTATGGCATTTGTTTTGTTTTTGATCCCGGACCCATTTGTTTCTCTCTCTCTCTCTCATGCCTTTCCTTATTCTTCATTTTGTTATTCCCCGCCCCTTTGCCTTTACTCTCCCTGTTTTATGGCCATTTTGCTGATCATCAGCAGATCCTCCAGAAGGTAGGCAGGGGGAGGGAGAGGAATTATTTTTAATCACAGTATTAGAAGACTCTAAGCATTTTCATCAAACAAATATAAGTGCTGCTTTTTTTCCTCTTTAGATCAGATCGTTGTACAAATCTACTATCTTATCCTCAGCTTAAAGAAACTACTTGAAAGTTGATTTTTATATTTCAGAAATGTTACTAGCTTTATTACAATAGAGAAAGCAATATTACAGGGTATATTTCTAATTTCTGTATTTTCCATTATCTTTGATATAAGAGAATCTACATGAAACATTAGTACTCATATTCTGAACATTTGAGAACATTTTCTAGTATCCGACTAATAAAATGATATAAACTGGGCATTTTTTTTCTCCAAAAGACAGAATAATGAATAACATTAAAATATATAAAATATATAAAAATGAAAAGAGGCATCGTATCCAGGAAATGCTGTGCCATAACAGTAATGGAAGTAAATGTTTACTGAATGCTTTTGACAGACTGACATAATTGTCCTAACTGTTGTCTCATAAGGGATACATACTTTAATAGGTTCTAGTTGTTGTTGTTGTTAAGTACCATGGAATTGGTTCCAACTCATAGTGACCCTGCACGGGGTTTCCGAAGCTGTAAATCTTTACGGGAGCAGAAAGCCTCATCTTTCTCCCACGGAGCAGCTGGTAGTTTCGAACTGCTGACCATGAGGTTAGCAGCCCGATTCATAACCACTAGGCTACCAGAGCTCCTTTTAATAGGTTCTTAAAAGTTGGTAATTAAAGGCAGAAACTCTTTGGAGACACTGTATTGTTTAACTGTGTATATTGTTCAGCCTTTTTTCCTTACAATCATCAAAAATAACTCTTGTGTTACTTTTTCTGTATAATCAGTTTATTGAAATAGATATATATTCTGCTTGAGAAGTAATAGTAGTGGATTAGCTTTCTAGTACTGCTATAATAGAAATACCACCAATGGACAGGTTTTAACAAATAGAAATGTATTTTCTCACAATTTAGGATGCTAGACAGTGAATTCAGAGTGCTCGCTCTAGGGAAAGGTTTTCTCTCTCTATTGGCTCTGGAGAAAGATCTTTGTCTCTTTGAACTTCTGATCCCGAACCTAAACATATTCCTTTAAGTTCTACTCGTTAGTTCTCATAGCAGCAATCTTGAACTACACCATAATTAGTTTAGTACCTCTTCTTTTTTTGTGGTAGTCCTATAAGTATTCAGGTCCCTGCTGTATCCTTTCTTCAGTGAGTGCTTTTCTTCAGCGCACTAATTGTAGTTCTAGTTCCTGTTTCCAGACCCTTCATTCACTGCCACTCTGTTTTGAAAAGGTTCTAATTTTTCTATGTCCTTCTTAAAATATGGCACCTACAACTGATACAATCAAGATGGTGGATCGGGTAGGCGTGCAGTGAGGAGCTCTGTCAATAACAACACGCAATACCGGGCCAAGCAGGCTCAGGGGATGATGCTGGAACTATGAAACACATATAAAGGAATATTTGGAGGATTGGAGGGCTTATAGCTAGGGGAATTTGTAGGAAAATCAAGAAATCCATTGTTTTCTAATTCAAGAAGCTCAGCTATTCCTGGGCCTGCCATCTTGGTATTTTCAATAACCAGCAGGGTCACCCATGGGAGATAGGTTTCAGATGAGCTTCCAGACAAAGACAGACTAGAAAGAAAGAGTGATGAACTACTTCCGAATCCTTACTCATGGAAAACCTTATGAAAAGCAGAGAAACACTGTCAGATACAGTGTCGGAAAATGAGCCCCTCAGGTTGGAAGGCACTCAAAATGCGAATGGGGAAGAGATGCCTCCTCAAAGTAGAGTTGACCATGATGACGTGAATGGAGTTAAGCTCATGGGAAGAAAGCCCACAGAGCCTTCATTTGCTGATGGGACACAACTCAAAATGAAGAGAAACAGCTGTAAACATCCATTGGAAATCAGAACATGGAATATACAAAGTATGAATCTGGGAAAATTGGCAGTTGTCAAAATGAAATGGAAAGTATCAACATCGATATCTTAGGCATTAGTGAGCTGAAATGGACTGGTATTGGTCATTTTGAATCTGACAACCACATGGTTTACTATGCAGGGAATGACAAATTGAAAAGGAATGGTGTTGCATTCAACGTCAAAAAGAGCATATCAAG